AGAGAGAGAGAGAGACACAAATAATGTCATTTTTCGTCTTGTTTGCCTCTTTCTTTTCGATGACGAATACGCGCTCGAGCGAGCACGCCGCTCGTGTTCGCATTTACGTTACGTCACCACTACGCCGTTACGTCAGGCACGCGTTATGCAATCGTTGCACACAGCGTGACGGTGCGAAGCGCGTTAATGGTAGTAATACAACGGCAATTAGTACGTTATTACCGAAGCGTCGAGAGCACTTAATGTCCGTGCAGTGCTCGTGTCGTGAATGCGATTCACGAGACACTCCGCATGGCGTCCCAGAACGGGACCGATCTCACCTCCTTTCACCGATAGATTTATTCTTCTCTTTAATCTCGAGTAAATTTCAAAATTTTTATATACAACCTAATCAATGGGGGTGAAATAAATAATGGAGAATAATGGAGAAATTAAATGAAAAGAACGACTAAATAATATGGAGAAATTAATGAAAATTGGTGGTGAAATTAATGAAATTAATTTCTCGACTCGTGGCTCCATCGAATTTTCGATGACGGGAAATCGCCTCTAGATTTAGATCAAGCGGTTCGTAAGTGAAAAGAAACGCAGATGACCGCGACCTCGGAATAAGAGACATTACGATTCGACCAGATTTAATGGCATAAACTTTGTTCCCGACCGTTATTATCTTATATCCGCTACGGTCTGCATATTCCCCCTCCCCTCCCCTCCCAACTTTTTCCCGGTTATTTCTGGAGCCTTCATTACGCGAGTGAATCGAATGAAATAAATGCTCGAGAGATGGAAAGGCAAGCTCGTACAGTCAAAGAGAACTACATAATTACGCGGATAATAATTACTTTGTAAGACTGGAAATGTGACGTACATCTCGAACTCGATGTATTTTGCAAATTGATATTTCTAGCATTTAATATCGTAAAGCACGGAGTACGTAAACTTCACAAACATTATAATTAAAATTACGTCAATTTTATAATGCTTTTCTCGAATCTTCGTTATCTCGCAAAAATTTTTACAAGGATAATAATTTAACATGCGCCAATTTTAGATCTGTCTCACGACTGACGTATCGCAAAGCTGTCACGAATTTCAAAAATCCACAAAACCTCAGTAATGGTTTCTCGTCCGTTAAAAATCATCTATTTTATTCAATCGCTATTTTCCATCGTCAATAATAGAGAAAGATTTAAAGTAAAGTATTAAGGAAACTGTTATATGATTAAAATTTCGCTTCTGTCTCGACAATCAGTATATTGGCGAAAGTCTAGCGAGATGTTCATTTAGATAAAAACTCTCTCACATGTACTATGCAACGTGGTTGGATAAATGCCCAATATTCCCCATCCCCAAATTATCATCTAAATTATCTCTTCGTGCAAGATCTGTGTTCACCTCTGCCTGTAGGTGTAGGTGTAGGTGTGTGTGTGTGTGTGTGTGTGTGTGTGTGTGTGTGTGTGTGTGTGTGTGTTCGTGCGCGTACGTAACATAATTCCTCGTGATTTTCTCGTCCATCATAAACGAAAGTGCTTGCGAATAACTACCAACCGTCGCCCACGGCATCGTTCATAACCATTGTAAAGTCATTCGCCGCGCGCCGAGGAGAAGGTCCTGTGTTTCCATGGGGCACAATGTCGATGGCGGACTCGGCGCAACATATGTTGCATCTGTGCGGACGACTCGTTCGTCGAGTCAACAGCTCGCGAGATGTATTTCTCGACTCGTTCGCCGAGCATATTATCGTCGTTAAATCGTCGATATTGAGGGGCTGAGAGAAATATCCGTCCGTCTGGACAGATCGCGCACCAATTATAACGACGTGAAAATGAACGACGTGGATCGGTCTCGGGGTCGACGAGATTATCTGTCGGTCGTTGAATTATTCGTACGCACGATAATTCGATTCGAGAATGTCATTCGGTACGGGGACACCGAGACACACAGACCGAAGCGCTCGTTCCTTATTTATGGATTACGACCCCACGTTATGGACCGCTTGCTCGAGAGAGCGACCAGTTTCCAAGGGATTTCTCTCGTTCAAAGAGCGCCGACCATCAAATCCTATCTCCCAATCGTACTCTCGCAATTTTAATCCTCTCTATAGACGGCGGTGTAATTTTCAGGGGAAATTTCGCCTACGGTAGCGTGCGCGCTATATCTTTTATATATTTTTCTTTTCTACAAAGTTCTTGAGTTGAATTACCATGTCGATTGTCCTCCCCACGATAAAATTGTAAAACTAGCACGATATCGTGAGAAATAGATATTAAATTTACTTTAATTCGATTTCAAATCATAAATTTTTGATTCGCGCAGAAAATTTTATTATCTTTATTTCTTGAAAATCATTAGTTTTTATATCATTAATTATTTTTCATCGTCAGAGATAAAAAAAATGTATTAAAATATTAAAGAAAGTAATATTGGAACACGCTCTGATTTTAATAAGCATATATTAACGGGAGACAAAATCAATTATTATCAAGTATTATAAAACATTAATGTTAAAAGCTTTTGATAGTACAT